CCTCAAACTTATATGATACATAAAACCAGGTTTGGTAAACCTAGTTTTTCATCTTGCATAATATTAATCATTTGAAATCATATTTTAAAAAAAAAGTAACCATCGACATATTAAACTCCAAAGTCTGGGTTTCGTTGATTTGTCTAAAGTTCCCCGAGCTCTGTGCATTTAGGAAGCTACATAATCTGCTCCGGGTTTCGTTCATTCGTCAAAAGTTCCCCAAGCTCTGTGCATTAGGAAGCTGCACACCTGTTCCCAGTTCTCAATCCAAGTACAAAAAAGAAATATGCTGCAAATGGGCGTAGCAAATACACGAAGAATATACAGTGGCAGAAATACATATGTATTACGGGAAACCAACTAGATATAAGTGTGTCCTGGCTGTAAGATATAGCTAGTCTATTACGGGAAACCAACTAAATATAAGTGTGTCCTGGCGGAAAGATATAGCTAGTCTATTCCATATATTGAATCTTCCTACCAAGAACCATCAAGTGAAATGTGCCTTTTGAATGCTTAAACTCAAAATCTAAATTTAACAGATGAAAATAGGTTCGAGATTGAAATATCACTGACCATTAAACCAGATAATTTGCCGTAATATGTCAGATATAAAGGGACTGGAGACGTTCTTTCAAGAAACCCTCCTTTTCCAAACCCAATACCTAATCAGGGATCAATGAGAAATCTGACAATATATATCCCGGAAAATATATATTTTCCAACTGTAGTTCCTCAATAAAGTGACTTATGTATTCATGGTACAGATAAAATAAAGGAGATTTTCATAAACTAAACACATTTAAAATTAAAAAATTAAAATTACTTCCTCATTGTTACTCAGATAAAGGTTTACGAATCGTACATACAGTCACTTTAAATGAATTTTAAACGTTATTCATGTGACTTTTATACTAAAAAGGCAGAAATTAATTTTTTTCTAGTTGAGAATTGTCATTTTTCGACTGCGACTGCTTTAGAAATATATTGGTGGATTTCGGCAGTGTAGATGTGGAAAAAATCTATGTTTATGTGTTTTCAAGATAAAATTGCGTTGACATTTCCTTTTAGAAGTAAACTTAGTAGATTTTAAATAGAGGAATAATTTTGAAATCTTTAATCAGTTGAGGACTCAGATACATATTGTCAAAGTGCAAAGAAACAGGCCTAAGGAGCGTAGACAGGGAGTGGGGATTTGTGGGCACATATAAGCAGTAACTCAGCTACTCCTTCCTTGTTTAAATTCATTAATTCCGACTGCACAGGAATTGAGTCTTTGCCACAAACTAAAATTTACTTATCCCTATATCATTACAACCTGATGATGCACTCCTTTGATATTTAAAACTTTTATTATTTGATCTAACAGAATTTATAGTTTGAATTTTCTTAGGTCTACGACATTGGGTTGCAAAAACATTGGGATTAGAAATCAGAAAGTAATCGTTGACGAATTCTTTTTATCAAATTGTTAATACGTTGCCAATTGTTAGTAACCAAATTAACAGTAAATAAACTGTTGGTTATCAAATTGTTAGTTAGCAAATTGCTAGTTATCAAATTGTTAGTTAGCAAATTGTTAGTTATCAAATTGTTAGTTATCAAATTGTTTGTTATCAAATTGTTAGTTAGCAAATTGCTAGTTATCAAATTGTTAGTTATCAAATTGTTGGTTATCAAATTGCTAGTTATCAAATTGTTAGTTATCAAATTGTAAGTTTGGTAATAAACGTCCCAAGATAAAATATCATCATGTAGAGAAACCATAAAGCCTTGAAATGGAAGAACTATAGTTAAGGACCACCTCCCCACCCCACCTCTAAGGATCCCCCCACTCCCACTAAGGCTTTTTTAATACCAACACTTTTTCCCAACAATAAAGAGTTTCAGATGATATATTAATATATTTTGCGAAAAAGTAGATTCTACGAAACTCTATCTCTTCTTGTATTCATTATATTTGATTTGATAAATGGAAAACCTCTGCTAAACTTAATGACTCTGAAAACTAGATAGAAGAAGAAGGTAAAATATATGCGCCACCACTTGTTCGACTTTGAGACTTCGTAGCTCTTCTGTGTTTGATTTACGCACAAGTATGAAAAAGGCAAAGTTTTCCAGTTACATATTTGAAATTTAAAGCATTTGCTCTAAAAAACTCTTCAATATGAAAAGTTATGATTGAAAACATATCAGATTTCAATCTTAAGTGCAATTTACTTTATAATTGGACGTGTTCATGGTGAACACAATTAAATAGATTAATATTAAGATTAGTTTCTGTAAACAGCAATATGTTTATCTTCAGATTTGAAGTGTTTTCTTGGTTTTTAGCTCTTCAAATGAACAGTGTTTGAGGAGGTTTGAAATATGAGATGAATTTGCTCTTCAGTAAAGAACATTTATGCAGGTAAAAGCTAAAGTAAACACTATAGTTAACAAATATTTAAGGTTAAACCTTGATATATTTAACACCGTTATTCACAATTTTTTTTTTCTAAAGCCGCAATTTTTTTTCTTTTTTACTTCATAATCCCAAACTTTTTGCGGATTTATCTATTTATGCTGTTCTGAAAAAACAACATTTTTAAGAATAATTTTTCAGTTTTGACCAGTAGTTACCTTCAATGGGGTCATGTGAGTTCCCACAAAACTTTCTTTTGGTCCGATCGGATCGGCTGTTTTAATGATTGGACATGTCAAAACTCAAAAACAGTCAAGCAAAATACATAGTTAGTTAATACCTCTTCGACAAGTTTAATAGAAAGTGTATTTTGAGGACCCTAATCTCTGTGTGACTCTGTACAACCAAATATACATAAAGTGTACTAGGTTTGGAACCCAGCTTTGTCTGGAAACTAAACTTCCTTTATAAAAGTTGGCACACTCAACTTAAAATTTGTCAATATGATACACTCTTGCATACAGTGTTCTGTATGATACACTCTTGCATACAGTGTTCTGTATGGTATACTCTTGCATACAGTGTTCTGTATGAAACACTCTTGTACACAGTGTTCTGTATGATACACTCTTGTACACAGTGTTCTGTACGGTACACTCTTGCATACAGTGTTCTGTATGATACACTCTTGCATACAGCGTTCTGTATGATACACTCTTGCATACAGTGTTCTGTATGGTATAGTCTTGCATACAGTGTTCAGTATGATTCACTCTTGTTCAGCGTTTTGTATGATACACTGTTGTACACAATGATCAGTATGATTATGATATGCTCTTGTACACAGTGTTCAGTATGATTATGATATACTCTTGTACACAGTGTTCAGTATGATTCACTCTTGTTCACGGCGTTCTGTTTGATACACTCTTGCATACAGTGTTCAGTATGATACCCTCTTGTACACAGTGTTCAGTATGATACGCTCTTGTACACAGCGTTTAGTATGATACCCTCTTGTTCACAGTGTTCAGTATGATACGCTCTTGTACACAGTGTTCTGTATGATACACTCTTGTACACAGTGTTCAGTATGATACACTCTTGTACACAGTGTTCTGTATGATACACTCTTGTACACAGTCTTCTGTATGATTCACTCTTGCATACAGTGTTCTGTATGATACACTCTTGTACACAGTGTTCTGTATGATACACTCTTGTACACAGTGTTCTGTATGATACACTCTTGCATACAGTGTTCAGTATGGTACGCTCTCGTACATAGTGTTCAGTATGATACGCTCTTGCATACAGTGTTCTGTATGATACACTCTTGTACACAGTGTTCATTATGATACACTCTCGTACACAGTGTTCTGTATGATACACTCTTGTACACAGTGTTCTGTATGATACACTCTTGTACACAGTGTTCTGTATGATACACTCTTGTACACAGTGTTCAGTATGATACGCTCTCGTACATAGTGTTCAGTATGATACGCTCTTGTAAATAGTGTTCAGTATGATACGCTCTTGCATACAGTGTTCTGTATGATCTACTCTTGTTCACAGCGTTCTGTATGATTCACTCTTGAACACAGTGTTCTGTATGATACACTCTTGTACACAGTGTTCAGTATGATACACTCTTGTACACAGTGTTCTGTATGATACACAGTTGCATACAGTGTTTGATTCACTCTTGAACACAGTGTTCTGTATGATACACTCTTGTACACAGTGTTCAGTATGATACACTCTTGTACACAGTGTTCTGTATGATACACAGTTGCATACAGTGTTCTGTATGATACACTCTTGTACACAGTGTTCAGTAAGATACGCTCTCGTACATAGTGTTCGGTATTATACGCTCTTGTACATAGTGTTCAGTATGATAGCTCTTGTATACAGTGTTCAGTATGACAAGTTCTTGTACACAGTGTTCTGTATGTTAAACTCATGTACATAGCAATCTTGTACATAGTATTCTGTATGCTAAACTCTTGTACATAGCCCTCTTGTTCTTGTTCTGTATGATACACTCTGTGCATAGCACTCTTGTACATAGTGTTCTGTATGGTACAGTCCTGTAAATAGCACTCTTGTACACAGTGTTCTGTATGGTACAGTCTTGTAAATAGCACTCTTGTATACAGTGTTCTGTATGATAAACTAAAGTACATAGCACTCTTGTACATAGTGATCTGTATGATAAACTCTTGCACATAGCACTATTTTACATGGTGATCTGTATGATAAACTCTTGTACAAAGCACTCTTGTACTTAGTGTTCTGTATGATAAACTCTTGTACAGAGCACTCTTGTACTTAGTGTTCTGTATAGTACACTCTTGTACAGAGCACTCTTGTACTTAGTGTTCTGTATAGTACACTCTTGTATAGAGCACTCTTGTACTTAGTGTTCTGTATAGTACACTCTTGTACACTCCTGTGGTTCGTATACTCGAATATATTGTTTTATTAGAACAAATTACAGTTTCTTGTTTCTCAATTAGTTTTATCTCAAGGGTAGAAACCTTTAAAGATAATTGTTCCCAGACTAATCAAGGACTAATCAGGAATCGTCTATGAATAAAATATTTATTATAACGTAACACGTCTGCCTGGTGTAAGAATACAATAAAACTATGTGCAGATCTTCTTCGACTTTAGATCGTAAAAAGTTTGGTCTTCAAATATAATAAATGGTGGAAGAATCTTGATGATTTATACAGCCGACAACATTTTGGAAATCCCAAGATTATGAAGTTAAAAGTGTAAAACTATTCTTAAAAAATTCACGACTGAAGACATTTTCATAATTTTACTTTATTTATTATAAATGTTTATATATTTGATGAGTATCGATACATAGTATAAGGGTTTGAGGGGAAGGGGGAGGGTGGGGGGTACACATAATTTACATTACTTCATCTTCTTCCAAACAGGCTGATCATATCCATCCCGATCTACGGATATTTCTAGATCCCTTTTCTGCCGATCCTTGGCATGCCCTGGTAGAATCCGATCTAAGATTGATTTAGTGGCGATCCCGACATGTAGATCCGCATCCCTAATCAGCTCTCGATCCTCTCCAGAATCCCTTTTGTGCCTGATCCTCTCCAGGATTGATTTACTCCGGGGATCGTATATTTTCCCGTTCTTGTCGGAGTGTGGAGACAAGGATTGGTTCTCCAGGGGCGGGGGGCTAGTGTTGGGGGAAGAGTGCATCACCGGAGAAGGTTCGGAGGTTGGAGAAGTGCTGACGTCAGACTCCTGACCACTGTCCTCCGTCCTTTCCTCCTGCTTGTCCTGCATCTTCTTCAGGATCTGTATCTCCTTCATCTGCCGCTGACGGATCTCATCGTTTCCGTCTGGGATCAAATATTTACGCACTTCGGTCAGAGCCAGGGCTAAGCGGGCATATGCTTCAGCAGGGGAAGCAAATGCTGTAACCTTAAACACATTAATAACTATAATAATGATAATAATAATAATAATAATAATATTGATGATAATAATAATAATAATAATAATAATAATAATAATTATTAATGATAATAATAATAATAATAATAATAATAATAATAATAATAATAATAATAATAATAATAATAACCTCGACATGAAGTTCCTCTTGAAGATGATTATGTTTAGGTTCCCCGGAAGCTCGAAGTTCTTCCTCCTGAGGAAAAAATCATCAAACAAATGTTTTAGCGTGATTTTAAATCTTATTGTTTTGAAAACATTCTCTACAGACTTCATCGTATAATGCATCTATTCAAAATGTGCAAAATGCATTTGTATTTTATTGACCTATTCCTAAATTAAAAACAAGCCCAAATAGAGAGAAATATTTCTAAAAAATGTTAAAATCTAAAGTAAAGAAGATAATTAAGAGGCCCCCCCCCCCATCGTTGAGAATAATGCAATTTTGTATATATCATATATATGTATATGTAAAACAAGAGAATTACCATTAAATTTGAAGATTTTGTAGTAATGGTTCTAAACGAAATTAAAGAATATTTGGTAGAACAAAGGTGCCTCGAGACTGAGAAAATATCACACGAATTTTAATCGACAGGATTTAATTTTAATCTTTAAATCTGGAATGGTTTGTTATGAAGGTTTAGAGAATGTATTTACATGCTGTTTATTTCTCATGGAGCCTCTGCCCAGAACCGCCATTTTGGTCATGGTGTCATCCTGGAGCTTCTTCAAAGAGTTCCCACGTGGGCCAAGCAGCTTACCCACAAAATTAAACTGAAACAAGATGGCGGCATTATTTACCCGCAGAACAGCAGAACAAGAAACCTTGTGGAGTGCTCAAGGCAGTTTTGTTTTCATGATATCTTTTAGGATTTTCCGATAATTTATACTCAACTTTTTATTTCAGTTTTCCCCGGGGAAATTTTCCTGCTCATAAAACTATGTAATTTCATTTTTTCCCAAGATTAAAATGAAAAAAAACTGCATCAAAAATATTGAATCTATAAATGATAAATATATATAAAATATCAATATTTGGATAATCCCAAAACATTTTTCATTTTTATATATTTAATGTTTGATGTGATATTTGCAAAAGTTGGAAATTAAAAAATCTTACCCTTGGATGTTCCTTGACTGGAACAAGAACACGAGCACTAACTCGAACTGGTTTCTCGTTGTAAACATCCAATAACCGGTTCTCCCTGCCCGGCGGTCTGCCCCCATTCTGAACTCGGCTGATTTCTAAATATTTGATAAATTCATTAGTTTGATAGATTTTAATCATATATTCTCTAGTAGTCATTAGTCATTCAACACTGTAGGTCAGAGGGTTCTAGAATGTTGAGAATAAAAAATAACAAAACTAAACAAATTTCTTTCTGATATTTCTCAGCTCATGTTCAAAAAGTTATATATTTTGAATTGTTTATCATACACTCAAGTTCCTATGTTAATCTTTTTTATGCACAATTCAGAAAGGAATTTAACATTCGTGAAAAAAATCCAAATTTTTGTGAACCTTTATTATTTCAAACCATAGACTATTTGATCTAAAAGAATCTATAGTTTAAAATATCACAAGTGTACGACACATTAAAAAATATGATCAGAATTTGTTGTGAGTGTTCATTTCCTTATAGATATCAAGAACATCGTTAATTAATTTCGGCAATTTCCTAATATACGATTTTTGGACACCCAACCCCCGCCCCCCATCCCCCTCCGATCAATTTTGTACTTGGATCTTATATGTAAGACATGGATAAGATTGACCATGTGGCGACAGCGGTCGGCCCCCTAGCCGCAGCGCTTTTAACCTAACTTAAACTAACCCTAATTTTATACTAATTTTGTTAAAAATTGTTGAAAAAGTGGTCATGTACAAAATTGATAGGAGGGGGGAGGGGGAGGGGGGCAAATAATATTTCTTCAAATAATTGTGTGTGTGTTTATTAGTCATGATTTGGTTTGAAGTTTTAATATTTCTTATTTTTCCTGTCTCCTTCCTTTAAACATAATAATCTTTTATTTTATTAATAGTTTATCATCTCAGGTCATCTGTAAACTTCCATTAATTTGATATTTAGAATTTGAAATATGTTTCTTTTGACAGTTTACAGTTGAGTAAAAAGATATTCAGCTCTATAATCTCTCTAGAGGAGGCTGATACATTTGGTGTGCTATCCCGTTTTGCCTTGTATAGTCCGTATGTGTACTGTAAAAAAAAAATTAATTATTGGGTAACCACTAACCAAGGTAGGTTACCAAGTAAAATGAGTGTTGTATGGTAACTGTAGTAACTGCTGGATAACAATTTTCACGTCAGGTCCCACACTTTACAAGGAACCAGATATCCATATATGTATCAAAGAAACTACCAAACCGCTTTAATTTAAAAATTAGGCTAAAAAGTAATTTTAACTATAGGTAACTAACAAACTAAGTAACTAATTAACTGGTTAACTACCTGACTGAGTAACTAGCTAACTGATTAACTAACCAACTGATTAACTAACTAACTGAGTAACTAACTAACTGAGTACCTAACAAACCGAGTAACTAATTAACTGAGTAAATAACTAACTAAGTAACTAACTAACTGATTTACTAAATAACAGTAACTAAATAACTGAGTAACTACCTAACTGAGTAACTAAATAGCTGAGTAACTAAACAACTGATCAACTAACTAACGGAGTAACTAACCAACTGATTAACTAACTGACTGAGTAGCTAACTAACTGAGTTACTAACTAACTGAATAACTAAATAACTGATTAACTAACCAACTGATTAACTAACTGACTGAGTAACTAACTAACTGAGTACCTAGCAAACTGGGTAACTAACTAACTGAGTAACTAACTAACTAAGTAACTAACTAATTGAGTAACTAACTAACTGATTAATGTTATTCGGTATGAGACGTCTTTAACAATTTTCTCCTTATAGACGCAACTGATAGAAGTAAGATTAGTAGCGATCGAAAGCGGTTTTTTATTGCATTAAGCCTATACCCCCTTTCATTTTTCGCGAACACTCCCTTAAGTAACTAACTAAATGAGTAACTAACTAACTAAGTAATAAACTAAATAACTGCAAACAAACTCTTAAATTATTTTTAAGTTTAAAAGTTTTGTGAAAGTAAATGCCAGATGGTCTTAAAAGAAAAAAGTGTTATCTTTTTTCTTGATTTAATTTACATTTTATCTGTTAGGGCGGCAAATTCCTGGAGTTGCAATGGAAAAATATTAAAAATATAAAATCTATGAAAGAGAACAATTCTACAGATTTCTCTTTTAAATCAACTCATCTTAATATTCCTTGACAGTTTCACCCGACCGTTTAATTCCCCCCCCCCCTTCTCCTGTTTACTCCCTCCCAACCCTCCCCCTTTCCATCTTATTCCCTCCAATCCCCCCCCTCATGCCTCCTAGTATTTCCTATGAAATTATGTCAAAATATTTAAGATTGCATTTTTAAACCTAATTTCTACATGAGACACTATGTCAAGCAAAAAGTTAATTTATTTCGAAAATGTTGTTTTCCAAAATTTTTTGAAATGCTTTTGTCTTTGATTAATATACTGGATACCAATTTACCAAATTTTTGTGTACTGGATAATTATTATTTATGTACAGGAAGTTCTTAATATTTATGTACTGCTAAGTCATGCACTGGATATATATATATAGGTTCTGGATATTTATGTACTAAATATTGATGGTCTAAGATATATATGTACTAGATATGCATGTCCTATAAATTGAATAAATGATAAAGCATGTTTGTATATATATATATATACATATCTGTATATCACGATACACTATTCTCGTTATGATAACATGTTTGTATATATATATCTGTATAATACGATACACTATTCTCGTTATGATCGCATGTTTGGATATATATATATCTGTATAATACGATACACTATTCTCGTCATGATAGCATGTTTGGATATATCTGTATATTACGATACACAATTCTCGTTATGATAGCATGTTTGTATATATATCTGTATAATACGATACACTATTCTCGTTATGATAGCATGTTTGTTTTAATATATATATCTGTATATTACGATACACTATTCTCGTTATGATAGCATGTTTGTATTAATATATATATCTGTAAATTACGATACACTATTCTCGTTATGATAGCATGTTTGTATATATATAGCTGTATAATACGATACACTATTCGCGTTATGATCACTCTTTCAATTTGGTATTATATATTAGGTTTGGTGACAGCTCACGATATGGAGGATAAATGTAAAGATGGATTACTGATTATTCTTGAGAGAAAACAGGGGGCGTATAATGGATCCCTCTCCCCGTCAGAAGGAGATATATCATAAACATAGCATGTGAATCTGATATTGCGTCTTAAGGGAGGCGGTTCGAGATGGAATAATAAAAAATGTATTTTATTTTTTTTAATTCATAGCGATTCGTGCCTTTCTAGTATTCTTCATAGTTCGAACGTTCTGGTGATTTTTTTAAATTATTTAATTAGCTAATTTTTCTTCTGTTTTCTTTTATTTAAGTTTTTATTTTTGTGGTTTAGATAAATTGAAAGTATACCTAAAACAGGAACTTGCATTGAAGTAGAAAAAAACCTTCAATATTTTTTTCTGATCTTTAATAGATTTGTTCAAAACGAAGACCGAAAACTCGCCGAAAATTCAATTTTTTTTCCCTTATCCATATTTCTTAGCATCCTCGTTTCTCATTTCGTAGACCGTAGTAGTGAGTAGTGAAATATTGGGTAGTGAGTAGTGAGTAGTGAGTAGTGAGTAGTGGGTAGTCAGTAGTGAGTAGTGAGAAGTGAGTAATGAGTAGTGAGTAGTGAGTAGTGGGTAGTGAGTAGTGACCATGAGGGACTGATTACAACTCCATGATAACTTTTTTAACAATAGTTTTTTTTAATTTAAATTTTTTTTTAACTCCATGATCATTAATTTCCCGGGTTTGATAGATTTTCATAAACATATCATGGAAGACTGCAACATGAAATAATTCAAATCTGTGTATTTTCCATATTTTGAATATATTTATATATTTGAAATAGATTTAGGAAAAGAAATATATATAAGTAAGCATGAATAATGAATTTACTATGTATAGTACATGATACAATCCATGGTATAGTACAATTCTTTAAAAACTCATCCTTTAGTTAAGTAAACCCTCGCCCCCCCCCCTTGTCCTAGATGCCCATGAAGACATTTAGTATGTGTTCTCAGGAGGAGGAGGGGGGCGGCAGTAATCCTCTTGCCCCACCCCGTCCCTCGAATGATGGATGCCAACTTGCTTTTTATTTTGAAATAATTTTACAACATAAGAGATTTTTGATTTGTTTAATTTGTTCAATAAAACAAAAGATTAAAATAAACCGGTAATTAAATTGATTCTACCTTTTCTAAACGATATGTTTAAAGGTAACTCTTGATTGATTGATATATATATAACTTTACTGAGAAGTTCCTCCCTCTTGTATAAAATACCCTCCTTTCCTATTATTGCTATTTTCATCCCCNCCCCCTCTCATCACCTCTATATACCCCGAGACCCCTTCCTCTCCTAATAGCATTTTCTCTCCTACCCCTTCCAACCGGCCTTTCTCTAGCCCTTCAAAAATCATTTCAAGTCACATATATTTGATGCTAATGGATTTGAAAATTTGAGAATTGTTTTAACAGAACGCAAACACCAATTTCTCTGGAAAACTGCTTCTGACGACTTAATCTTGCTTAACCGTTCATAATAAAACGGGATTCAGGATTCAGGATACAGGATACAGGATACAGAATACAAGATATAGGATGCAAGATACAGGGTATAGGAGACAGAATACAGGATACAGGATACAGGATACAAGATACGGGGTAAAGGAGACAGGATACAGGATACAGGATGAAACATAAGAGTATAGGAATTAACTAGAATGAAGGAGAAGGAAAACAGGATACAGAGAAAAAACAGCATTTAGTATAATGATGAACAGGGAGTATAAAGTGAAGGATAAATGAACAATTAAACAGGAGTAAGGATTAAGAGGGATAAATGAATAGCTGAAAAGTAAAGGATTATTAAGGATGAATGAACAGCTGAACAGGAGTAGATTAGGAAGAATGAATGAACATTTAAACAGGAGTAGATTAGGAAGAATGAATGAACATTTAAACAGGAGTAGATTAGGAAGGTCGAATGAACAGCTGAACA